AACATAGCTTATTGCATACTTCTCTAAAATTACTTTATAAAAAATATGTTTAAATAGGCAATAATAGTTCCAATCTGTTATGGATATGAAGTTTATATTAATAAATATTGTTTATATTATGTCAGTAATATAATATACAAAAAAAAATGGGGGCGTTGTCTCGAAACTCTTTATTATTAAGGGTACAGTTTATATTCTCGCTCCGGGCCCCCCGAATGCGCCAGACCAGAGCCCTGTTAAAGACACGTATTTTACTTTTGTCATAGGCCTCCAAAAATGGCAAGCTTACCAAATGTGTGAAAGCCTTAAAGGGGAAAATGTGTCACTTGGTGATGAAGATAGTTGATTCTGTTGAGTTGCCAAAGGAGAAAGTTGTATGGTATCCATCAGATCACTCTCTTGCTATGCACACCAAGTGTTCGCTAAAAAGTCTGAACAAGTTGCTCAACATGTAAAACTGGAGAAAAGTCTGAACCAATTTTCCCAATGTAGCTCGAGCCATTGTGAAACATCATAACAAACTTAAAAAATCGAACTATCGCAACATTTCAACCGATTTTTTTTTCCTATCTTCTCATTTCACCTTTGACGTAATTTTGATTTTGGAACAACGGCACGACAACTACCGTTCCCCTTCCGTTGTAACCGTTCGAGCGAACAATGCACTTTAGCTTTACTCAATTATGTACCAATAATACCATAACATAGAAATCTATCAAGAAACCATACTTCAAATGTAAGAAATGCACCCAACTTCTAAATTGTGGCCAAAAAACAAACTCTTATATACACATCAAACACATTACATACATAGTCATTCTCATTTGTCACAAATCATTCTCTACAACTAATAATACCGAAATAGTCAAGTCTCGAAAGTCGAAAGTATTACCTGGTACACCAAATCGCAGTTCGATTTTTTTCAAGAAATAACATACAAAAGAATCAAGAACCAAACGAATTCATTTGATTCAGAGGTTCCTGAGCGTTTGAGTGAAAACAGCTGCAAAAGCATCCAATTTCTTCTTAGGTCTCGACAACGCGAACTCCAACCCATCTTCGTAATCCCTCGATTTACACAGCGACATCGAAGTGTCCCTATCGATCGAAGCGGACTCGAATTTCCTCGGCCTCCCCCACCCGTAGTCCGCATCGTACAGATCGAATCTTGGCGATCCCGCGACGCCGAAGAGCCGTTTTCCAAGCATTTTTCGGAAATCGACCGGCCAATTCTCCGCCCCGTCGAGGATGCCCTTTTCGCTGTAGACGCTCTTCTGTATGGCGAGACCTAAACTCTCGGCGGCGATTAAGAAGCCTTCTCTGCCTTTAAGGAGGCCGTGGGTTGACTGGGCTTTGACGAAGGCGAGGCAGTTGCCGAAGTAGGTGGCGGGTAGGGGCGGGTTGAGGCGGCCGCGGCAGTCCGCGGCGAACCCGAAGTACTCGGGCTCGTCGGGGGCGACGGCCCCCGTCTCGGCCTTGACGAGGCAGACCCAGACGAGGGCGCAGGTCATTGTGAAGGCGGTGATGTGCATTTCGGGGCGGCGCGTGAGGACAAACGCTTTGAGCTTCTCGACGTCCTCGCGCGTGATGACGAAGGTGGCGCGTACCTTGTTGAGTGGGAAGGTGAATTGGCGGGGCTCGACGGATCTGGATCTCTTGACGAGGTCCCAGTAGACGGAGTCGAGTCCGGCCGGGTCGGCGACGGCGGTCCGGTCGTAGAACGGGAGGGACTTTTCGTCGATCAGCTTCGAGTCGCCGCCGAACCGGTTGACGGAGGCCCAGGCCTTGATGAACCGGACGATGGTGCTGGCGTCGCCGATTGCGTGGTGGTTGGTGAACCCCAGGCAGAGGCCGTGCTCCGGGAAGAGTGTCACCTGGAGGGCGAGCACCGGGAGGACGACGGCGTCCGGCGCGTGTCTCGCCGGCGGGAGCTGGGGGACGCAGGCGTAGAACTCGTCGGCGGATCTGGCGTGGTTGCGTGTGAGGTGCTTGTAGTTCTTGCTGCACTCGGCGATGGTGAGCGTGACGGAGTCTCCGACGACGAAGCGGGAGAAGGGGCGGCCGGCGTTGATGGGGTGGACTATGTTTCCGGCGAGGGGGAGGAAGTGGTTGAGCGTGCGGAGGAGGGATTCCTTGAGCTGGGGGACGATGGAATCTAGGAAGTGGGTTCTTGAGCAAGGTAGATCGAAGAAGAGGAGACGCTGAACTGGGTGGAAGTAGAGCCAGGTTATGTCGAAGTGGAGCAGCGGCAGAGTTAGCTCCGCCACCGTGTCCGGCGACGGCTGGATTTGGCACCGCTCGATCAGGGCGGCGGCCATTGGGTTCTCGTTTATTTGAGCCATTTGGGAAATGGAGGAATGAAAGGTGGGAGGGGAGACCTATTTTCAAGATAATTTAACTCAATTCAATATATATATATATATATATATATATATATGGGGAGATTTTTTTCCGGGAAGTTATATGCTGCATCGGGTTATTTATATTTTATTTCGGGTGATTATTAATTGTGAATGCAGTTAAATAATATTTCATTTACTAAGTATACGTGCATATGAGTGTGATTATATGCAGATATATAGTTATTAATTATCGTTGTAAATAATTTTATCGATTTTTTTTTTCTTTATTTTATTTTATTGTAGTCGGAAGATACTAGAATGTGATAAAGAAGAAACCCAAATAAGGGACGCGTTTATGATTTTTGGTCAATTTTCTCTTTTTTTTTTTTTTTTTTTATAAATAAATGTTACATAGGCGAAAGTGGAATCTTACTATTGGTTTTTAAGAGGATTTAGCTCAAAGTCTATGGAAGTTATTTGTCGGGAAATTAGATGTTGCATTTGTTTATTTAGATTGGATGGATTTGAACAGTAAATCTATACATATTTTTAAATATATTCATTTGCATGTGTGTTTGGTGGATAATTATTTAATTAAATGTACGTTTAAATTCACAATTATAAATAATCAGGTGTAACATCTAACTTTCAGATTACTCTTATAAACTAAAACTCATTAATATGGATGATCGAATTACCGTCTAAGAGCATCCTTAATCGTAAAGGTTAAATATGATTTTCCGAATACTATTTTAGCGAATGGATAATGATGAGATCAATTTGGCAGCATTGTGCGGGGTGGTAAAAGTAGATCTATTGGGCCAAGTTACAAAAGATAAAAGGTAGAAAAACGAGAATGGGCCAATAACACGTCGAGGAAAAATCCCAATAAGGCAAAGCCTGCTAGCAAGTTGGTCGTAGGAAGAAGATGCTCGCTACATCTCGACTCACAGGTGAAAATGAACTAAAATGGAGTGTACGTGCCGACCTGGCTCGAGAAGATACTGGAAAAGGCAGATTCGAAGATATTCTCTAAAAATAGATAATGATGATTGTAATCACATATGACAAATGGATATTTAATAAATATTAGACAAATGAAATGACTTAAAGACAATAAATGTATATCTTTAAGATCCGTTATATATACGGGAGTAAGGCGAACGATATAATGAATCACATTAAAGAAAAAACATACACACTCTGTCTCTTTGATTCGAAACATTTTCCAATCGTTAATTTATTTCGGGAGGTCATAACTCCGGTGTTAGATAGGCTTTCGGACGATCAAGGAAGACGAGTTTAGAATGAGGTCTTGACGTAAATCACATTAGGCTCACCATGTGTGATAAGTTCGACCTCGCAACTGCTGATAAGAAGATTCGAACTTATGTCAATTGATACGGGCTCACTTGCTCCAACCGTTAGGTCATGCCTTACTGGACTTATTCTAACTTACTTTATTGACATTTGAACTTGCTATAATATAATTCAAGCTTATAAAGAAAATGTGATACTCTTTTAAAATGCATCAACTAGTCATAATAATTAAAGGAATATAAAAAATGACCAAGGTGAATTGGAAATCAATTTCGTGGAGCTCCAGCTGGTAGGGTTCTGAATTGACCAGAAAAAAATTGAAAGATTCGAATGTGAACATAAGTCCAATTCCAATATCGTAATGTATTGGATTTAATTGAATTTAGTGTTTGATTGTTAGGTATCCCACCAACCCACAATACAATTTAATACATAAGTCCCTCCACCAACCTATTTTCTATCAATTACCTAATCATCCAAAAGTTATTAAAAACAAATTTAACTTTCATTTTTATAAATACAAAAAAATAGCAACAATAGATTTCGTTGTCACTAGTGAAAATGTCATATCGGAATAAGTAGGGAAGCCAGTGTAGGGCCAGGTCATGGTCCCCTCAAATTTTAATTTATTTTTATTAATGTAAGTGTATGTATAGTTTTTTTGCCCTTGCATCGTCCTCCTATAATAAATGGATCTAACAAGTAGGATAAAGAAGTTCCAGGAGCAAATCCAGCCTTGGGAAGTGATGGTCGAGCCATCCTCAATTGTAAAAATCTACATTGTATTACGCCTTTATATTATTCAGTTCATTATTTTTTATTATTTAGTGCACCTGAAATCCAAATAAATGCAACAAAAAAGTTCTAAGTTTTTCTTTTCCTATTTTCAAATTTTATAAAATAAAAAATTAGAATTTTTTTTCGGTGGCCCTGCCCCCGAACACTCAAATAATTTAGTTCACCATGTAAGCAACATCTTAGTTTTACCAATTTTGGAACAATTATTGTTTTCATTTACTTTTCTACATTATGTGGTAATACATATTCACCCCCATGGCGAAATCTTAGCTTCACTACTAATTGGAATATTATCACGCGCCTTTTACTCCACATATCGTATTATGTCATTTATCATATCGCAAGATATTTAGATAACTATTAAAAATAATACAAAATGTATATTATATAATAATAATGCAATAATCATATAAAAATAATATCTTATAGTCAAACCCTATATAGATCTAATTTCAAATTTCAACATTAAATTATTAACTAGGAAAAAAGTGATAGTTTTTAGAAAAGCTAGCGTTGGTTTTACTAATTTTGTTAGTAAAAATTGCTTTTGATTTATGTGATATTGAAAAATCTTGTTAGTTTTAATTGGGAGAACAATAAAATTTATCTAAAACATTTTTTTGACTTTGCCTTAATTAAAGAAAATGGTTAAAAAAACACACAATGGTTATTAAAAGAAAAAAAAAAACATATACTGAAAATCGCACAAATCGCCATATATATATATATATATATATATATATATATATATATATATATATATATATATATATGTTGAAGATCACCAAAAAATCACCCCAAAATATACTGCAGATCGCACAAGTCACCCTAAATGTGCTGAAAATCGACAAGTCACCCCCTAAACAATTTTTGTAATTATGGTATCGTGTAGCGATATCGAGCGATTTACCGATATTTAAGTACAATCGATACATATGACGAGTTGTATCATTTCCATAGAAATCCTATCGTATGGATCGCAAATTCGCAATATATTACGATATTGACTACACTTGTTTCATGTAATCCAAATTTCAAATAATGTAATATAATACACACACATATGTTAATGTCAAAATCTTTTAACGCAAAATATGAAATCTCGAGTTGTCTAGTAGGTCTCAATGAGAAGGTCTACATCAATAATTTGTTTTGGCAATGCCATGAAATTCAATTGAATAGATACAAATAATTGGTAGGTGATTTTCAATCTTTAGCATGTGACAAAATAAACGGTTAGAGTTCAATGTAAATTTGAATGCAGCCCAACTTTTTGACCACTTTTGCTAGTTCATTTCATATTGACTATTGGGTTAATTATATTATGGTTTTACTAATTTAGGTAATTGACTTTTCATTTTCATGTAAATTCAGATGCGGTCACAAATGCCACGACAACTTATTTTTTCTCGATTGGTCAAAGTAATTAAAATGATTTTTCTTCTAAAAGTTTTCTTGCTTTCTGAAGACACTAGGAGAGTTGGTACCTAGCCTTTACCAATAAGGTAACGGTCTAGGGTTCGAGTCCCCCCCTCCCCTACTTCCCCTTGTAATGGACTTGAATTTACTCAAAAAAAAAAAAAAAAAAAGTGCACATTTTATTAATAATTAACACTAAGTCGGGATGTCGAAACCACAGGAAACACGTAAAATTATCTACTTCTAATTAATTAAATCGTCGAAATTCTTAACTAAACAAAGAAATTGAGTGAATTTGTTAATTTATGATAAAAACAACTAAATGTTTATTAAATTCAAGAATAAAAACACCAAGAATTCCATCTTCCCCATATGTGCTTGTTTTACAAATTCATCTAGCGAGCTTAACGGATTTTTTATTATCCCCAACGGTAAATTAGTTATAACTAACCGTAATTTAACGAGTTACAATCCTTATATGCACAATTAATCTATGATATGTCAATGACAATTAATTATGAATAAATATATCAAGGCTCAAGTTCCACTAATGGCTATCCAAGTTTTAACTGTGTAGTGTGTAGAGTGAGTTTGGATATAGTTTGGAGAATCTAGCTTTTAAGGTTGGATAGTTATATATTCCATGTGGGGATCGATATTCGAATTTTTTGTCCAGTATATTACTTGTTCAATACGTACATTTGCGTGTAGGTATTTAACACACTACAAAAAAAGACACTTTAAATAACGAAACAATGGTAACAAACCAAGTTTTGGTCACAACAACTCATTTATTGTAACAAACTTCAAGTATTGTCACGAAACATGCTGTTTTGGGTAACGACTGGGATTACTTATTACAAAAAGAAATAATTCGTCACGAGAAATGCATTTTTTGGTGACAACTTGGTTACTTAGTTACAAGAGGTTTAGTGTTGTTACCAAAAGTTTTCTTTATAGTGACTAACAAAGTATTCGTTACATTTAGTATTAAGTTGTCACAAAAGAAAATAATCTTTAGCAACAGCAATAATGTGCTCACAAAAGGTTCCAATTTTTAATTACTTTTTATTATAAATATAATTAATATATATAATAAAAATATTATATTAAGTAAATACAAGTAAAAATTAAGAAAAAAATATTATTTATAATGACAATGCAGTAGAATTAAAAAAAAAGAAACAAATTTTAATTATTATGGTTTAACAGTGTTGAACTAATTATCCTTGATTTGAATTAATAACCATTAAAAAATTAATTTAAATTTAAAGCTTTATATACTACATCATTTTATTAATTTTTTGTTTACTTAATTTATTAATATATTTTTTATGTTTGATTTTTTGCATATTAAAAACATCAATTATTTTAATAAGTAATGTAGTGGTAGAAACTCTTTAGTTAAATAAATTTAACTATAAATTAAAATTTGGATTAAAAGAGTCCCAAAATACTGGGCGGCAAAATTAGCGCCTCTTCTTTATATTTCTCTAAATTATTCTAGCGGAGAAAACAAAGAGTCAAATGAACAGACAAAGACGAAGATAGGGTTTTTAATTTTCACCACTTTCACAGATCGTCACATCTCCTATCGCTACCGCACACACCATCGCTCTTCCTACTGCCGCCGCACACCCCGCCAGTCCACTTGATTTTTCTAACACAGGCGGCTGAGCCAATAGAGAGCGACAATTCAAGGTACATAAATCCTGAGTATTTCGCAGCGATGATATGGGATGGAGTTTAAGTCCTATCCTGAATTTTTTGTCCACTGGATAAACTTTTTTTGAAAAAACAGTAGGAATTGTACTAAGATTATGTAGTGCTTGAATCCTACTGAGTATTACAACTTATAATTCATATTACGATTCCCAAAGGGGTCGAAATAATTATTGAAGAATTGGAAACCCTTTCTCATATGAGGTATATAAATCAATTACCTGAAATCCTTTAGTTTTATTTTTCCTGGTGATGGCTTCATTTTTTTAATTGTTAAAAGTTGAGAATAAATTGTACATGTTTGAAACATTAAATAAATTCTTCTCATGTACAGATTGTTTGAGACTTTTACTAACAGAACCTGAGAGAGAATTTAAATTAATTGCGTGGAACCATTTCTGAAATTTTCAAGAGCGAATTGTGTTTTACGTATTATTCTTTATTTGTTAACTTAATTGATTATTTAATTAATTGTGCAGTTAGATGCCACCTAATAATATAGTACCGCGTCGCCTTTTAACTAGGAGGAGTAAATATGCAAATGTATAAGCATCTTCAGTCGCTCAAGAACTTCCATTTGTGTCGGCAAATTCACGATCTGAAATCCCGTCATCTCGTGTGCCAACTTCATCTACATCTCCCCATCTTCATGAGGATACACAAGGATACGAAAGTGAAAGTTCTTTATCAATCCATGAAAACTCAACTGATAATTTTATGCATTTTTCTAATAATACTTAACTTTATTATCTGTTTATTAGATATTTGTATTTTTATGTGTATTTTTATGAATAAATATCAGTTTCCACAAAGAAAAGAGGCCGCGGAGCAACTACAGGAATATCGATAGAGAAAGCAATTGTTGAAAATATTAGTGTCTATTGTTTGATATACATTTCTCTTTTTTTTTGTTACATGTATCTAACAATAACTATATATATTCTTTATATTTGTGATTAGAAAGGACAATTATTAGAAATTGAGTTTCCTGAAGGTTATAAAAAGCCACGTCAATTTGCTAATCACTTAGCAAGTGGAATTGGAGTTGTTATTAGGCACAGTCCAGAACTTGATTGTATGAGTAACTGGAGTGACGTTGCAGAACACCAAAAGTAGGTTTATGCTGGATTAGATGTAAGTATAATGGTTTTCTACATTTTTACTTTATCATAGATATGAAATAAATTTCTTTATTTTGATAGTTACTCTTGTCCACCAATTTTAGACATGGTTTAATATCAAAGGATGGGAGAAATAATCCAGTAGTTCAAAGAGGTATGGAGTTGTGCCTTCTAAATGTTCGAAGAGGTCAACATGTGAATCTTGTGCCTTCAAAACTATGATGACCGTTGCAAAAGGCAAGATGATGAAATACAAGGTCTAAGGGAAGGGCAAGACGAATTGAAGCAAATGCTATTGCGTTTATTGCAATAAAAGAGTTCAAGCAATCAAGACAAAACTTTGTAAGTTATACATGTTTGTTGCTATATTTTCATATTTTAATTTTATTTTATGTGAGTGTGCTGATTTTTGATAAAATATAAGTTGATTAGAACTGTGATAAAATTTGATTCCATATTCCCTTAATTTGGTGTTGTATAATATGTTTATGTGTGATTACGTTTGGGCATATGTTTGATCTGAGCATTTTTGTCTTCTTCTTGTAATATTTATTGAGAATTAATTTGTTTGATTACTCTTATTACATGCTTGAACGTACAAGAGATGATATGACTAAGGAATTTTTTTTCTTCAGAAATGTGTGCTTAGAATTTGACTTTGGAAATAGGTATCTTCTTCCAAAAAAATTTCATACAACCTTATAGTTTCGTTTTTCTAATGTTTTTTTTACTGGTTTTATGCTTAAACGCCTAATAAAATTTAATTAATGCTTATATTTGCAGGTTTTTGGTGTAAATACAACAAAGAATGGTTCAATGTGAAGTTTTGAAAGTTAGCTTGTATTTTGATCAATCGTGCATCACTAAGGATATTATTTAGAATATTTTGCTACTTCTCAATTGTTTTTGAGTCCTGCTGTAACTTTGAAGCATGTATTTACAATGAAATGATTGGTGATTATAATCGATATAAATTTTTTAATGTTGTATTATTTTGAATGAATATTCTTGCTGTCAGAAAATTCTCAATTCATTATTTTATTTTCACAAGAAAATTAAAAATAATATCAAAAAAAAAAAAAAATGAAGTATGGTAAGGATATCATTGTCATAAGAAGTTTTTGTAACGAAAAGTATTTGACATTATTATATTTTAAATATTCATGAAACTGATTATTGGTAACGAATTCAGACTTTCGTAACGACTAAAAATATATAGCGAGGACCGAATTTGTTACAAGTAATAAGGTATTGTAACCAATTTTATTTCGTTACCAATGTATTAGTAACGAATTATAAGAAATCGTTACCTAAACTTCTAGCGTCGAGCTTTACACGACAAAGAAAGGTAACCAATTACGTCGTTACGAAACGTTAAGGTGACGAAAATTTGACATTTGGCGACCAATTTCGTCGTTACCCCAAGTGATTTTTCTTGTAGTGACACCAACAACTTTCTTTGCAAAATTTGTATAATTTTAAACGATCCGATATATTTCGTAATATGTATAAATATAATGTAATATGTTATCATTGATTTATTTTTTTCAAAACAATTTGTGTATTGTATAACTCATGATATGACTATTTTATAGTTTTCATTCTCATTTTTTGCATTTTTCATAGTTTCTAAAGAGGTGTGCTATTTTCACCCTACAATTATCTATTCACACCACCCTCTTCAATTAACCACTATATTTAAAATAAAATAAAATAAAATTAATATAACTCATTCTATTTTCAATATCATCCTTTCCCCAAATCAACTAACATAAATCTATTTTACAACTAAAACTCTCAATTTGATCAATTAGGAAAAGTGGGGATGTTTTTTGCAATTTAGACCGGCACACGAAAAAGTCTCTATTTATCATATTTTGTCTACGTATATATTGATCGAGCGATTGCGAAAGCTTTTAAATACCTTTATTATTTTGTTGTTAATTAGCATCCAAATATTGACACAATTAATTGGTACTACTGTGTCGTGCTTTACACATCTCGTGCGGTTCATAAGCTATTGCACGAGAAGTCATTGTTTACCCAGTGCACTTATACGATTGGCTAAGAGAATCTTTGTTATGTAACGTAAAAGAAGATATGGACACAATTAATAAAAAGAAAAGAAATTAAATAATTGAGAGTAGTAAGGACTTCATCATTAAATACAAATAATTATTTAAGGGTATAATAGTTTTTACTTAAAAAGATGATGGTGAAATGATAGATTATGAGTTTATTGCATTTAGTACCCCTGTATTATATTGAATTGCTAAAAAGCCCCCTTGTTATTAACATTAGCAAAAAACCCCTTATATTCTAGGGGCAGTTTGCTAAAAAAATTGAATCTTAGTGGGCTTTTGCTATTAAAATAAGACTGAGTTTTTTTGACAGTACCAATTAGAGAAAACACATGGATGTTGAATGCAATAAACCGATAGATCATAGGGGTTGAAATAGCAATTAGGAAAAGTAGATGGAGTGTTTTGCAATCTATACCGACACCCAACGAGCTCTCAATTTGTCATTTTCATAATTGATATTATGCATGATACGTTTAATTATTCAATTCTTTTATTTAATTATTTCCTTTAACTTACTCGTTTGGCCATAAGCCCATAACAAACAAGAAGAATCTTGATAATATAATATAGATAATTTCCCAATAATTTTCTAATCCCACAATCCAACTTTATATTGCTAATACACCCCCCAATAAATCACTACTCCAATTTTCTTGACTCAAAGAAAGCTTGAAAACTCTCCATTAATGGCAGCAACTGCAACTACATTGCTCGAAACCTGTCAAATCCAACCTCCGATTTCCGATGATGAGCTGTCGCTGTCGGTACCTCTTTCGTTTTTCGACATAGCATGGCTGCACTTCCATCCGATTCGCCGCCTTCTCTTCTACAACCACCCTTGTTCCAAACCCTATTTCCTAGAAACCCTAGTTCCAAACCTCAAAGAATCACTCTCCCTCACTCTCAAACACTATCTTCCAGCATCAGGCAACTTACTCTACCCTAAAACCGCCACCACCGAAAAAAAGCCCGTTTTCCGATACGTCACCGGCGACTCAGTTTCTCTGACAATAGCCGAGTCGAACAACGATGATTTCGACGAGCTTATTACAAACCATGCGCGAGATGCTGACCGGTTCTACAACTTTGTGCCCGAATTCCCACCGGAAAAAGACGAACTCGAATATAAAATAGTCCCTCTTATAGCCCTGCAGATAACCCTATTTCCGAACCGTGGTATTTGTATTGGTTTTGCTAACCATCATTGCGTTGGCGATGCGAGTTCGATTGTAGGGTTCGTTCGAGCATGGGCTTCGATGAACAAATGTAATGGAGACGAGGGTTTATTTCTTACCAAAGAAAGTGAATCTTTGCCGATTTTCGATAGATCCTTCGTTAAAGATCCATTACAAATTGATAGAATCTTCTGGAAAGTACTAAAAGATGCTCCGTTAAAATCGTCGTCTTTTCAACTGCCCACAAATAGGGTTAGAGCCACGTACGTCCTCCACCCGGCCGATATTCAAAAGCTAAAAGATTTGGTTCTGACGAAAAAACCAGGATTAGTTCGTGTTTCTTCGTTTGTCGTGACGGTGTCCTATGTTTGGACATGCTTGGCAAAATCCTTGGAGGAAATCGAAGACGATGCGCTCGAATTCTTTATATTCGCAGTGGATGTTCGTGCGCGGATAAATCCACCCGTGCCTGCTAATTACTTTGGGAACTGTTTGAGCTACGGAAGGGCGATAATCGAGCATAAAACGCTAGTCGGAGAATTAGGGTTTTTTGTTGCCGCAGAGGCTATGGCTTTGGATATCAAGAATAGGGTTAATAATAAAGACGAGGTTTTGAAAGGTGCGGAGAATTGGATGTCCGATAGAAAGAAATTTAGCGGGGCCGTAAGGGCGGTTGGGGTTTCCGGTTCGCCGAAGTTCGATTTGTGCGATGCGGATTTCGGGTGGGGAAGGGCGAGAAAGCTTGAAGTTGTGTCGATTGATGGAGAGAAGTATTCGATTTCGTTGTGCAAGTCGAATGGTTCGGAAGGAGGATTGGAGATTGGATTGTCTCTTCCAAAGGAGAGAATGGAAGCTTTTGCAACTATATTTGCAGATGGACTGTGATTAAATTTGACAACTATATATACATGTGTTAAACTTGTCAAATTTTGTGTATATATTATTAATCTTTATGTATTTCATTTAATCTGCTGGAATAGAATTTGTTAAATTTTTAATTGGCCCTGATTTTTGTTTAATAAAACTGATTTTTGTTTGATAAAACACACCTCCGTATAACCACTAGATAACATTATGATAAAGATTAAAAAAAAAGTAGCAAAAATTTTGGTTTCCATCTCTTGGTTTCCATCTCATACATGAAGAGATTTAGTTGCTTCGGACTTAACTCCGACTTTTAATTCCCAAAATATTTAGGGATACCGATTTACCGGGATTTAATAGTGTGGGATGAGATTAGGATTTAAAATTTATACTCCGAGAAATCCCAATCCTGAATTCCCGAAAATACTTTCCGAACTCACCCCTAGCTATTAGTGTTATTTTTATAATCATTATTAAAAGTCAACCTATATTATGCCCGTATGATCTACTGTTAAAACTACCATGTCTTCTTTAACATTTTTTTTAGATGAAAAAAACCTAAATACCTATGCATTATGTTCTAATTGAGAACTAGAAACTGTGATCAAACGGTGTGTGTTTCTTATGCTGATTTAGAAAAGTATCATTTCAAAGGCTTAATTTAAAGAAGATTTGGTAGTTGAATATGAGTAGTCGAATTACTTAAAAGAAGGACATCATTTCTTAACATCGAAAAGAAAAGACTTATTTCTATATATAGGCTTTAATAAATATTTCTAGAGAACTACTAGAATCGATTTATCTCTAAAACTTTCTTTGTAATCTAGATGATTTTAAACTTCGAGAGATATGGATGGATACATAGAACTAGCTTAGTCTTCTTGAATAATTTAGATATTTCTATACATTTTCTATATTTGCATAAAAATTAAAAATTATCAACTTCTATTGGCCTTAGTCAACTATAATTATCAGCTTCTATGTTTTTTCCGTATATGATCACAATAATAAATAAGTATATAGTTCATTATATATTATGGACAGATATATAAGTATATCAACATATTTTTTCTATTGAAATTGTAACTTAATTCTTTGGCAACTTTATAAATAAGTTCATCAAGGGGTACTTATTTATAAAGGGATTCAGATGAAAAACTCTTTTAAAAAAAAATCTACACATTGTTCAAAGGTTTGTAAAAGACTAAAATAGCCTCTCGCATTTTAATATGTTTGAATTTCATCCTTTAATTTAATTAAACATCAATTTGACCCCAAATTTCACAAATTATTCAATTTTGACCCACAACACAATTTTGAGTACAATTTCGTATGTCGTCGCCGGTCTCCGGTGTTGATTTTTTTTTCTTTTTCTTCCTGATTTTTTTGCCGGTCTCTAGCGTAGACTTTTTTTAATTTTTTTTCCGGGCTAACCGGCGGTTAACGCTTCGTTGACCTTTTTTTTTCTTTAACATCATGTTGCCCCCATCTAAACAACAATATTGCTGTGGTAGATAGTAATATTAACTATATTACTGTTAAAAACAGTAATATTAACAATAATATAGTTTAACACAGTAAAAATTGCTATATTAATTATGATGTGGTTGACAATAATATTATTGTGTTTACAATTATATTACTAACAACGACAGTAATATAATTACATTCACTTGTCAACAAATCAAACAAAAAAAGAGCCAATAAAATAAAAATATTGTCTTTGACTCTAATTGTACTGTCAACGACAGTATAATCACATAAATGTACTTTCAACGACATTACAATTACGTTAATGTACTGTCAACAACAATATAATTACGTTAATGTACTGTCAGTTACAGTATAACTACTGTTCATGACAGTACAATTACGGTTAACGTTTACCTGCGGGGGTAAAAAAATGGATAAAAAAAATCACTAATAAAAGTCAATGCCGGAAACCGGCGGCGGAAAAAGAAAAATAAAAGAAAAAATTGAAAAAGTTAACGCCGAAGACCGGCGGTCAAAGCCGGAAACAGGCGGCGGAAAAAGCAGACAAAAAAAAAAGTCAACGCCGGAAACCGGCGGCAAAAAAATAATTTCTGAAAAGAAAAGTTTGACAAAAAAAGTCGAAATTGAATTTTTGTGGACAAAATTGTTAAATTGAGGTTACAATTAAGAGGGTAATTTTGTCATATATATATATATATATATATATATATATATATATATATATATATATATATATATATATATATATATATATATATATATATATATATATATATATATATATATATATATATATATATATATATATATATATATATATATATATATATATATATATATATATATATATATATATATATATATATATATCTATGTTCCTACATCTTCGGTGCGAGACAACTCCCATGAGGAGACAACTCGCCCGAAATTCCCTATAAAATACCTGCTCAAGTTAGCACGATTGCAACCCTACAAACACTTAGATATATCATGGGAATCTCTCAGCTGGCTCGCTGTGATTTCTCACACTTATCTACTTGTTTTCGATGGGTCATTCTTTAAAACGTGGCCACGGTCCGAACACGCTTACGACCCACGAGGTTCAACAAGGGGTACGATCCCCATAAAAAAAATAAAAAATCTTGAGAGCCTGATCCCCTCCTCAAGTACATCACGCACAAGGCTATATGTAAACACATACAAGCAAC